AGCCGCATAGAGCAGCAAAACCCTTTGAAACTCAGTTGGTCTGCTTTATCCCACTTCACACATATTCACGTGTCCTTGCACCAACCGATTTTTAACTTTTTCGATCGCCGCAAAACGCTTTAATGAAGAAAGCTTTCTTTAATGAAAACCAAATTCAAGACTTCGTTGAAAAAAATTCTACCACAAAGCCTGCTGAATTATACACGAAAGTCATCGAAGATTTGCCTGATAAGCGACAACAAGTCCTTGCAAAAAAGAAGGTGTGTGTGTAACGAATGCACGGACGCAATTTTCGACGGATTTGCATCAAAATTTACATGCACATGCTCCAAATTAGCGAAAATGCCAAGACCGATTTTGCATTTCACAACTCCCGTCTATAGTGGAAATAATCGATTTTTTCATGCTTCTACGGCAGCTTTAATGTAGTTTGCGGCCATTTTCTACTGGCCAGAGTGAGAGCCTATAGCTGGCTGCCACGAATAGGCAGGAAGATTCTATTGGCCAGCGTGAGAGCCAACAGGTGACTGACACGAATGTTAACTAGCATGCTAACATGCAAAAAAAAATTGATAGCTGCATTCGTCACAAGTGGGAAAAATTTAAATCTGCATGGCACTTTACTCCAATTGGCTCATTCGCTTGCTTAAACTCAACGTTGATTCTGATTCCGCAGAACTGTGTTGGGTGTGAAAAAGTATTTGTTGTTAATATTCTTTTTTCATTCGGTTTTTCCAGTTACGAGTCCTTTTTTTTTAAAGCTGATCGTTTTGTGTTCATTTTGTTTAGTTCTTTTTTCGTAACAGATTTAGTGTTTAGTATAGAGCTTAGAAAAAATTTGCAGTGTGAGATAGGCAAGAAGTAAGGCATGTAGCAACATCAGCACGGCAAAGGGCACTCCTTTAAAGGCAAGGAAGGGCAAAAATATTTTAAGACAAGTGATAGCGATTGCTGTATGAGTCGTACGATTTTTGAATCAAGCACCGGCAACGCCGGGCCATGCTGCTAGTAATTAAATAAAATTGAATTGAAAAAATTTGATAGGCAAAAACAGGAATTAGTTTCAAATCAAACCAATATTTCTTGACAAATGAGTAGCTATAAGATTGCAATAAATATCGATGTAACTTAATAAAATCATAAATTGTGCGTGTAGTGTAACGGAAAACGAATTCGGCGAGTCGAGTTCGAATTTTTGGCGTGTTCGATTCGTTCACTTTCGCACAAAAGTTCTTGGAAAAGACACCTATCCATCTCTTCTCCTCTCAGCTATAGGTTAAATAGCAGAGCTGACTGATCTCTTTTGTCTTGATGTGGCAGCTAGTCTAGTAGTGATAGGAAATGACTGAATTTAAAATTATGACTGCAGTACACGTGATACCCTTACAAATCTAATGCCTTGCGGGACTTGAAACGTGTCGAAAAATATCCTTTCTGCCAATCATTGTCAAATATATAGAAATGACAAAATCATCTTTATTTTTCGTGAGAATGCAAGTGAAATTTAAGTAATATTGGAAAATGTGTCTATGTTGCATTCTTGGTTACTGAGATAATTCAACTTCCTTTTCTTTCTTTCTAAGGGAATTTTCCTGTATTTTTTCTTGGTTTGTAGAAGATAGCTTTTATTATTCCATTTCTCATTCGGATTTCGGTGTCACAATTCTCACCCGTTTTTAGCCACCATTTTTTCGTGATGATTAAAGAATACTAGTATTATTTGATAATATTAGTAAGTATTTTTTAATCAACATGAAAAACAACAACTTAAGGCTACTGACATAGTTAAATAGTGTTTCAGATCCCTTAATAATAATAATAATAATAATAAAGAGTGTTTCAATAACTTGGACCGATTTTAAATGTAAATTAAGTTTAAGCGTCTAATGAAATTTCTTTCCTTTTTCTTTCAGATTTAACAACTTAAGTCTTTGGAAATTTCAACCATGGAAAGATTAACAATCAAACAACGGGTTAAAGTCTCAACAGTGCAATTGCAAAATTTGTTCGTAAATTCAAACAAACTGGGTCGGTGGCAGTTGTGAAAACGCATTTGCGTACTCGTTTACGCCGTTCAGCTGAAAACATTGCTGCAGTGCACGAGAATGTGGCCGAAAATCCAGGCAGCTCTATTCATCATCGCGCGCAGTGATTGAACCTCTCCATAACAACGTTACATCGTTTCCAATTGCACGCTCGGTTGGTCGATTATGTTGACCCTAAAAGTGCGCGAAATGCATTTCTGTTTGAACGTCCATTTTCGTAATAGGCTTCGATAACTTTACCACGTTGTTTGATTGTTAATCTTTCCAATGTTGAAATTGCCAAAGACTTACGTTGTTAAATGTGAAAGAAAAATAAAATAAAATCAATTTAATTCACATTTAAAATCGGTCCAAGTTATCGGAACACACTTTATAACACTCGTTAATACTGACTGTATTAATTATTTAATGGTCGGCACTTCTGTTAAAAGTATTTATCCGTTTTGGCAATTATCAAAATGTCATTTCCCGGTCATCTGCCAATAATCAGTGTAGTATTTACTCACAGTGTAAAATTTTTAGACACTATACTCATGTTACATTGAATATACTCGTTCTCTCTTGGTTGGATCCAGTGACTTGACCCAATGAGTTGTGAGTTCAGTACCTGGCTACGGCAGTGGTGAACAAAAACTTGGAGAGGTCAGTTAAAGGGAGATAACCGATACATCCAGAAGATGCATGTCACGTGGAACTAGAAAAATCTAACCCGGTGGACGAAATAAAGGGTTTAGTTCGAAATTCCGATCACTTGAAGAAGGCCGGAGCATAGAACGACCGAAAAATCGTGAACATAACAATAAAGATGAGGATAACAGTCCGAACAACGCAAATAATTTAGATAACATCCGTTCACGTCCGAGCACTGAGCCTGGTCAATATTTAGATGTCTGATCAATATAGAAATGCCATGGGCTGGACGCCTAGCGCCGCTATAGATAAAACTCGACCATTCGTCTAAGGGAAGGGAAAACTCGGCAGTTCATTTGAGACTATAAATACCAAAGTGGCCGACACCGTCCCACTAGGGATGATAGGAAGATCTAGTGGATGGTATGTAACAAGAGGGCGGCTAGAAAAAATGAGACGGTAGGGGGGAAACAGAATAAAGTAATTTTTTTACAATATCCATAGGATAAAATATAAGTTCCTTACACTTGAGGTACACGTGTGCTCTACAAAGAAAAAAATTAACATAACAGTTAAACACGAACGTATGGTTTTAATTTATTTTTTGTTCGAAGTTAATAGCCTGGTGTTTGGAAACTTTCTGTGCTTATCTAAACAGTGTGCACTATACAGCAGGCAAATCAAATAGCAACAAGGAACAATAAATTTTTATGTGTAGCGATATAGTTACGGATGTTCGTCTGGCGATATCTTATCTAATAGCATCTAAAAAAAATTCATATATTTTTAGTGTTCGTGTAGTTGTTTATTTTTTTCATTTGTAGTATAACTAAAGCCAAGAAAGATGGAATCTGGAAGGAAAGGTAGGGGCAGCTAAAAAAAAAAAAATGGAAACCACTGAAAGTAAACTTTGATTTCAAACTGTCGCTGCCTTGCAGCTATATCCAGTAAGGAGACGGGCAATTGGAGTAAGCCCTGAGAATAAATATGGAGGCGGAATCTAAAATCCAGTCCGATGTTTCACCCAGCCTTGTCTTGGCAACTTCTGCAACGACGTCGGTGTGCTAAGCAAGATCGGCATCTGTTCTTTCCTTGGATGACATCAGCGGACACGCGCATCATGAACAACTTACAAACTTAAAAAGAATCTCATCCTGGACACTCCAGCGTCACCTTCCAGCAACACACTGTAAAAAATGCAGCAACTACCGGTTATAAGTCAGAGATCGTTTGGTGAACAAACGCTGCGCTACCGCCATCAACTTTATTATGGTTTATACTGAAACTATGTTTGAGCGAATCTTCGTTAAACTTTACGCGAGAGAGTGCGTGGTCTGATATTTGAACACGGCCACAACGCACAACTCCCTGCTCGAGTACCTGTGACTACAGCCCCTTTCCAACAGATGCAATGTCGCTGGCCGATTGCTGTTTCAATGGTAAATGATCAGACGAGCTCCAGACATTTACAGCCAAGACCCGCCTTGCTACGCCAACATGTTTGAATCACCCTCATCACTTACGTATTCCGTTAGTAAGAAGGTTGTTCCACCCAGAAATCATCTTCTCAAAAACTGCTACCTTGTGGACCATGTTTGCCGTAGTCTTTGAATATAGAATCCAGTGTAGTACGTAATGTGTTCAATGGAACAACGCCAATATCACTAGTAGCAGCTGTTCAATAATTCTTCAGGTCTTCGATATCACAGGTTGGCAGTGAAGATATTTTTTAAGAAAAAACAAAATGGCTGCCTTTATACACGTCGGATTGAATATTCTAAGCCTTCTGATTGGTTAACCCTTCTATTGGTGCACTATAAAATGAGTCAGCTCATTTTGACTGGCTCACTAGTACAGGGTACCCAAAAATTCCAACATAGACTCCCACATTGATGCTTCACCGAACACGAAAATCTTAATTTCTTCAAGTGTAGGGTCAGTCGTTATCTATCCTCCTTATCCTCATAATCTTCATTTCATCTCCCCCCTATTACGTTCATATTGAACACCTCATTCAGTAACCCTTTAACTTGAGTGGCTATTGCGTTTTGATTGATTGATTAATATTTTACGGTTTATCAACACTTTGCAGGTTATTTAAAGCCATAAAATACTTTTAGAGTATACAAATTTCTTTTAGATAATAATGGTTTAATGATCGAAATCTTACTAATTAACTCATAGCTGGGGAGAGAAGAGGCTGATTCATACCTTTCCCAGGGGTATTTGTGCGTAAGTGAATATAACGAACCCAACTGGAATTGGAACTCGGCTCTCTGATTAACAACTCTGAGCCATTATTCACTACACCGCCGGACATTCAAGCTTACAGCACTTGATATTCCTAAGCGGTCACCCATCGAGATGCTGACCAGGCTCTGTTGCTTAACTTCAGTGATCGTATGAGAACCGGTATTTCAACGTGATATGGCCGTAAGCCTATTGCGCTTTACATTGGGCGAATATTAGTAAAAATAAAGAAGATTTATGAACTGATCACAGAAGATTGATTCTATTTTACTCTTTTTGTTGAAAGTGAGAGTAGCTTCTTCCCTCCATTTTAACCAGACCGGATCTGCATTATTCATTGCATTAAAAGTCGTATAAAAGTCTTAGCAAATAATCTCGAAAATCAAAGTTATCTCTTCGCCTTTTCAATCATGCTACGCTGTTATGCACTATGCATTCTTCTTGCTGCACAATCTAAAGCGTTGTTGCTTTGTCAGACGTCCGCTTGTAAACCAAAGTAGCATCTTAATACTCGACCTTCCAGATATTTTGGGTCATATCTAATGACCTTTTCTTTTAACGTTCTCCTTTCATGGCCGCTGCCTCAGCAATTTTCAATTCAATCTTTACGAAGCATGACATTCATAGCTGCTTACCTGGCATTTTTGTGATACTTTTGCAGGCATAGTTACACAATTTTGCGCACCTCAAACAACGGTTTCTGCAACAATAACCTGTAATTAACGTTAATGACTTATTAATAACTCATAAAATGGTTTGTTGATTGCAGACGTTTTCTAGTGCTTGGATCCTTGAAAATAGCTTTCAAATACTACTGCCTGACGCACGATTACTCGATTTAGTCATAAAGGACTGCCATGTTAGATTGATATGAACTAACTAAATGGATTAAAGGTTTGACGGGAAAAAAGTGATTCCAGGATTTGAATTATGAATTTAAAATATAATAAATTCAAATGGGCCAATTAAAAATGTTGAAAAACATTTTATGCAAATGAGAAGATCTGGATAGATTGAAACAGTTGGAGTTAAACAGTATTTGTGATATTCCCACAGGCATGAACAGTATTCAGCATTGTGAACTTACACCCTTGTGCAAATGAATTGAAATAAACGCTTTAGTTCCATTTCTTTCACCATATGGTCAGTTTTAGACCCACTGGTGTAAACGATTTTTTCCTCAGATTAGATCATTTGCAGTGATGTACAGTAAGTAATATGAATCTATTTTCGAGATATATGAAGACATTTGTTTGGCCTTGAAAAATATTGCGTCATCCGTGATTGCATCAGGTTTTTATCACTCCCAAGCACTATTGACTCGACTGTCGATTAGTTGTCCTACGGCCATTGTCTGCGATCGATGTTACTCCAAGGAATCGTACGAAAATTGTAATGCTGCACGAACACATTGGCAAGCCTTACTAGTGAGCAAATCAAAGTACTATAGACTGGCCCGGAAACTCTCCTGATTTAAATCCAATCGAGAATCTGTGGTCAATCTGCAAGGAATGATTTCGTGGAATGGAAATACTAAGTAATAACATGTGCACTGGCTTATGTTTCATTGGAAAATACATAAAAAGTAAATTATATCAGAATTGTTCGTTTTGTTCCGATTAATTTGCATAAGAGTACAGATACTCAGAAGCTTGATGACAAAATACAAGATAAAATAGTCACTGAATTCAAAGTTAATGCCATTAAAAGAATTTAACTGTTTTTCAAAAAGAATCTTTTCTCACCTTGATGTCTGTTCGGGCTTTTTTTTTTTTTTTTTTTTTTTTACTTCTAACCATAACTGTTGCTGTCCTTATTTCTTTAATGAGAAATTATCATTATTAAGATTCGTATTATTGTCGCCATCTTAGTCGTTACTATCCCAGCTTTTTGCCCGTTTCTGTCGACCGCTTAACCTTCATAAATAATGGAAAATATCCCTAAAATATTCCAACATATGGACAATGGAAAAATCCATAAGATTTCCCAACACATTGATAGTGGAAGATAAACCTAAAATATCCCAACATTAATTGGGACCTTTATTTAATCTTCGTAGACTGATTGTTCTCGTCTCTCTGTTGATGTCTAGGGATATCTTGTCAAATAACTTGTTAGTACTGTTTAGATATTGCTCGCCCGGTTTCAGTCCTTGGGCCAATTTGTTGAAACTGAAAGCCAGTGAAAACAGGACGAGAAGTGACTGATCAGTAATAAATTATCACTACCCTTGGACAATGGAAAATATCACTAAGATATCTCTAAAATATTCCAACACATGGACTGGGAAAAATATGCCTAAAATATCCCAAAACATAGACACTGAAAAATAACCATCAGATATCTCAAAAGATGTATAGTGGAACATATCCTTAAAATATCACAACTCATGAACAAGGGAATGAAGAACAATCTACTACTGAATATTAAATATAGTGTTCAGTTAAAAATTCCCTGGAGATTACACGAATCTGCTAACTATTGAAAAGAAATGTTGGAGAGCACAATGGTCGACATATCATGATAATAACAACAAAGATGAAGATATTAGTCCCATTGTATATAATTTAAATAAAAAAGTATTACTTTCTTGTTGCATTCGGAATTTTGACATGTTTATTCAGTTTGCTTTATTACGTAATAAGTTTGCAGAAATGTAGAAAATATCACTAAAATATACCCAAAATATCGCAAAATATCGACAGTGAAAAATATCCCTAAAATATTCCAACGGCTTATACTGTGGGAAATATCCCTAAAATATCTCAAAACATGTATAAGTGAAATATCCCAAAATATCGCCACATATTGACAATGGAATGAGAACAATCTACTTTAGAATATTGAATATATTGTTCGATTCAAAATTCCTTAGAGGTTACACCAATCTACAAAGGCGTTAAGAGGAAGACTGGAAAGCATAACGATCGAAATATTATGCTAACAACAACAAAGATGACGATATTAGTCCTAATGTATACAATGTAAATAAAAATTATCGCTTTCTTGTTGCATTCAGAAATGTGACTTGTTTGTTCAGGTTCAGTCAATATTTCGGTTCAATTCGCAATAGATTTTCAGAAAAGTATATTAAAAAACGTATTCTGTATTTAAAATTCTTTTCTACTTTTTTCCAAATGTATCAGTGAGATTAAACATATTTCAATGCTTGCTAGCTTCACGTTAGAATTCGGATACCAAAATGGCAAATGTCTATGTTTTAACAATTACCTTGGAAGTAACAATTATTGTACTTGCGTATTTAAGTCATAACAAGTGACAACTTAGATTTAACAAAAAAAAAAAAAAAAAGAATTTCACATTTCCACAACACTGGACAGGTAAGCTTGTTTCAAGTTTATCCAAGTACCAACTATTCTTATAGATTAATCCTTATAGCATTGAATACGATTCTCTCCGTGTGCCCTACATTTGTAACATTTTAACATACTAGTGTGAGTTAATTTAAGAAAACATCTGTATCAGGCGATTGAATCGAGCACAAATGGAAATGAGTTCATGCCTTTCCTAATGTCATCGCTCTCTATATATAACGATATCATACACTAAGTAATGTTTTACTGTCATGTCTACAAATCTTTCTATATTATTATTATTCATCTTTTGCTGGCGACACCAAATGGCAGTGTCTTTGTTATGACAATGACGGTCTAATGCTTACAAAGCCAGGAAGGGAAAAATACGGCTGTGTGAAAGAGGAAAATATAACAAAAATTATGGAAAAATATATTTAGAATAGATGTTTTTGCATATATATATATATATATATATATATATATATATTTAGTAATATTAGTGGCCAATGTATATATATATATATATATATATATATATATATATATAGGAGGCTTAAAAGCAAAAAAACATCAACCAGAGAACACGAGTCATATTCTTAAATAACCTTGTCAGATCAAAACTTTCATGTCTATGTTATGAATGGCGTCTAACATGCTCAAAAATTACTAAACTGTCAACTGCATACAATCGATTTTCTCAGATCAATGACTGAAAAATAACTAATAGAAACTACATCCCCTTAGAACTTTCAGCAGCAAAAGCAACTACAATGGATGGCACATGTACACTACAGTTCAAAAGTTTCAGGATACCCCTGTTAATTTTTCAAAAAATTAGCCCCAAAAGTAGTTGTTTTGTACTTTAAATAAGAAGAAATTATTATACGTGGTTAAAAAAGTGAGATATGATTTTTAATTAGAAATTTTATTATTATGACAAAAAGAAAAAATAAGCATTTTATGTTTAAATTTTTCTCTCGGCAAAGTATCCTCTTTTTGCCTTGATTACTGCAGCACAAATTTTTGGCATTCTTTGTAAAAGTTTCTCAAAGTATAGGTTTGATTATTGATTCCATTGTTTTTTTTTTTTTCAATGAGTCTTCTTTTTCATTTTTTTTCATTCTTCTGTCAAGTTCATTTCATGCTAATTCTGGGGGTGGCTTCAAACTTTTGAACAGTAATGTAACTCAAAGAGAAAATAATAACTTAAACAAGAGGCCAACGGTGCACATTACTTTGAAGAAAAGGTTAGGAAGGAGGCCCCCATCAATACTGGAAAGCGTAAAAACAGTTATTGCATTTGAGACTTATTTTCCTGAAAAGCAGTTTTAATAGACAGATTTATGAAACATTAAGTAAAACAATTAAAAAAAGAATATTCATTTATTTTCAAATAATATATCATATATGAAAAACTACTATCCATATAAACACAATATATTATTACGTATTATTAGTAGAAGTAGTATTAGTAATATCAGTATTAGATGCATGCTTTTCCGTTTGATCGTTATATGCCGTCACGTGAATAGAATGCTGTTCCAATTTCAGCTATTTAAAACACCAGAGTCAAAAAATGTTGTTTACAATACTGGCAACACCTACTTCTAGATAATGACTGTGATAAGGTACTTGAACAAAAGAAATTTAACAAAACAAGAAAAAAAGAACTTTGGCCACTTTATTCATAATTCCATTTCCCACATACATCTCAACCAAAAATTGGCAAAATATAATAAAAAATGAAATAGACAGACCTTATCGGTTGAAGTTAACAAATCTGGTTTTCAAGAATTCTTGCTGTCTAAATGCCCATTATATATATATCTATATATATATATATATATAGATAGATAGATAGATAGATATA